AATCAGTTTAATTCACTCACTACACTTAATCTTTCTAGTTAATAAATTGTGTAGTTGTAAGTGTGAAACATGTATTAGTAAGATAAGTTTAAATATCCAAAACATACAAAGTAGTTTTAATAACTATAAACTTTGGATGCTGCTTTGTGTGTTTGAATTCCAGTTCCCATTCTAATGCAGCTTTACACCAATCATGAGCAAAATATTAATTTAGCAAGTAGCAGTAAATCATTCACCATTTTCAAATCTACCTAAATGTACAGTTAAGGATGTGAAAATAAGCAGCTATATATATTGCTTACATAAATGTATATAGTTGGTGTACTCTCTTAAGGCTTGTCTGCACTACAGAGAAGATTGAAGCTGCTGCAATCAATCTTCCAGGGTTCAAATTAGTGGGTCTAGTGAAGACAAGCTAATTTGAACTGAGAAGTCATTCTTGTTGGCACCCTGCTCCCAGGAGGACTAAGGACAGTCCTCAGGAGGATGTGTTCTCATTGACCTCCCACTGTGTGGATGGCGTCAAAACACGGTTTAAGATACTTCAGCTCCAGCTACATCATTAATATAGCTGGAGTTGTGAACCTTAAGTTGACTTTCCCCTTCAGTGTAAACCAGGCCAAAGGCAGCAAAAAGATTTACCAGATCTAGTGGTAAAGGCTTGATTTAGTTGTATATCAACATTTTAATGGTTATAGCAGTGAGAATGTGCCTCTTTGAAAATAACTGAAGTATACATGTAAAAGTTTATTAAAATCTGGGATTTAAATGAAGACTTTCTTCTCGGTGATTTAAATCACAGAACACTAGAACTGGAAGGGACCTCGAGAGGTCATCAAGTCCAGTCCCCTGCCCTCACGGCAGGACCCAGTAAATAGCTCATTTAAATCAATTATCCTGGGATGAAGACGTCTAGTTGGCCATGTTGTAGCTACAGAGGAAGTCTAGGCTACAAAGATCTAGCTAAACTGCTTTCCAGCCAGTTAGCTTGGATTTTACCTAAGTGTTGAGAGATTTTGCAGTTTTGCTCATTTAACTGAGCTGAAAGCTATGTACTTTGTGCCTGTCAAGACAGAGCCATGGGGCCCAGCACTGTGCCTTCAGTACAGATTTAACTGCTGGGGCTTGTGTCTTGGCAGTGCCTGAAGCAAGGCCTCAGGTGTCAGAAATGCTTTTCTTTCCCAGGCTCCCTTGTGGAGGGGAGGCTGAGTTATGTCATGCACTCTTGACCTCTGCAGAAACAGCAGCAGCAATCAGTCGCATCCCTGCATTCGACATTGCTATCTGACTCCCCAGAGGCCCTGCAACTAGCAGTTACACTCAGGGAGGAGGCACACAGAGACTGGTCATTTATCTTTTCTCTTGTGTTTAATAAATAGGAAGTTATGCTAGTTATACAGAATCCCCGTGTATAGTGGGAACATCTGCACTGTGCTAATGCTGCTTAGCTTAGGGCCGTGTGCAAAACTTTCACTCGAGTTTACAGCACTGCATGGAAAACTCAGTCAACAGGAATGACCTTCCCCATATTATTGTATAAATTACAGCAGCTGGGGATATTTAAATTTTTCCTATCAAACAGAAGCAATGCTTCTGCCACATGGTGTTGGCATCTAACATCTGAACTCTTCTGTTATGGTCACAAAATTGCATTAGTTCAGTATTGAATAGCACCAGTGAGGCGAGCATACAAACACTATCCCCCCTTTTTTTGTAATGCAGGCCCCTGTAGACTCTTCAGTCAGGGCTGAGGAGAGATACTAGCAATTCCTGCATTTAAAAACAAGCAGCCCATAAAATCAAAGCCACTGGCAATGATGGCCCTTGTAGTTAGTGTTATGTGCAACCATGCCAGAAAAACAGTCCCAGTGTCATTCCTTGGGTCAGCAGGAGCACATATCACCCAGCAATCCTCAGAGTACTTTAAGGAGCAGCACTGATGGACTTCAGAGTGCCTCCGGCCCGGTCCATGGTGGAAAGAACGTGCTTGCCAACTTGGTGGCTTACAGAAGTGGTGTGAAGGAAAGTACCAGGATTCCACAGATTGAGAAATAACCTGTTTCTAGCACCAAGCTTCTTGCTCAACTGGGTTTTCAAACAGGCTGGAAATGTTACGCAGGAAACTTAGGAATATAAATTGCAAAGGATATCAGGTAGTGTCCAGAATAAACCTGAATCCAAATTACTCTAGGTAAAGCCCAAATGCATTCTTCCCTGTCTAAGTTTATTCCTGGAAAATATCTTATTTAGCATCATGCAGCTATGGAGGTGATGGACAAACGGGTATCACCCCAAAACATGACTAAGCTTCTACCCAAGCATGACTGGAGAAACAAGAGAATTTCAATTTGACACTGAAGTCTCCTTTCCATGAGTCCAGGAACCACAGAAATTAAGTAACTTTCTTAGAAACATGCACAGATATCTTTAAGCCTCACCATGCCGTCATTTCTCTTCTGGAGGGGTGTTGTGTATCCTTCACCTGGACATAGCTGAATGCCTGCCCTTTCCCTGGGTCTTGTCCCAGCTGATTTATGGGGATGCTCCCATTCTAATCCTTATCAAGGAATAGGCATTACATTCCCAGATGAAAGACAGTAGGTAGTGAAAACCTGACTGGGTTTTCACTAGAAAGCAAAGTCCACAGAGATCTGTGGGCAATTGGCCCAGCCCCAAACAGCTCAGCAGTTAACTAATTATGAAGTTAATGTGATAAGACTTAAGTTCTGTAGAGAACTCTACATTATTTTGTAAAATTGCAACTGCTTAAATGTCTGGGGATTAGCAAAGAGCTGGGGAGGTAATTATCTGGCTGGAGGGACTTGAAATGAAAATGCAGAAGAGAGGAAAACTCAGAAGCAGATTATCTCAAAGGCCACCGGCAGTGGGTAGAAAGCTCCCTCTGAAGGATTTGGAGATTTACAGCACTGTACATGATAAAGGCAAAAGCTTAATATTAAATGTTCAGTATTAGACTGGAATAAAGGATTAAGTAATTTCTCCTATAACCTCCTTAAACCAAGAATGAGGGAATGTTATTCGACGATCCATGAAATGTCAAACCCAAGAGTCTCTTCATTCTTTCTTCTGTTGTCCAGAGATCCTTACAGAGCTAGACAATGGGTTCCTGAACTGCACTTGACAATTATACCCTAGTCAGCTTAGACATCAGAACACTGGCAAATAATTTATTGAGAGCCACGTCTGAATTGTAGAAATCCAGGAGCCTTAAGGTCTGTCTACATGGTATGCTAGCCCATACTAAGGGGGCCTGAAGTCTAATATGTACTATTAGTGTGTTTTATACTCAGTGGTACATGTAGATCCTTCCGGTGTGCCCTAAGAGTTCCCTAGGGTACATTATCTAGTACTATTGAAACAGTACTACATCAGATTGCTTGAAAAGCGGGGGGAAATGAGGGACTCAGGGCAGAGTGGCTTGAGTTAAATCATATTGCAGTCAATGCAGAACTAAGGAATAACTCTACTATTCCTGAGGGAGAGTTGTCCAACCTGTTAAAAATTTCCACTGAAATGAAAGAACTTACATAACTCCCCGAGATCATTAGATAGGCAGTGCTTTATTACCCTAGCAGTTAGAAAGCTTTTTCCTAACGTCCAACCTAAACCTCTTGCTTTAGTTGAAGCCTACTGCTTTTTGTCCTATCCTCAGTGGTTAATGGGAGCTGTTTTTCTCCCTCCTCCATGTAACAATTGCATTTAAAACTTACTGATTTTTTAAACAAAGGAAATGTCTGTTATTAATGAACTGAACTAAATGTTTCTGATCACCATGTCCATCAAGATTTTAGTTCTAATAGATCTCATCCTGTCTCCATTTTTATTCATAGATTGAGAGAGAACACCCTTTCTTGAGGTTTTCAAGCTCTGTTTCTCAGTTTTGAATGAGCTAGAAATTGAACTTGAACTAGTTGAATAAAGAAATGGAAAAAATTCTCTGCACCTGCAGAAGAAGCTAGTTGCTGTCAAAAGCTGATTTAGCATTTCATCGAACTCTGGTTCCTGCTGCTTAGCTAGTGACTCACCAGCTCTGTGCTTTGATTCTCTTTAAAACTTTGGCTGTAAATATGTACTGTTTAAATTTAAAAATAGAGTAGTCTGTAACATAGGTTGTCATAAATGAAATTAAGTGGGCTTATTTTGAAAAATTTATCGCATTTAAATTTTTAGAAGCCCATTTAAATAAAAACTAGGGTTTAAAAAAAAACATTGATTTTATCCAATCTGATTTTGCCAGAAAAAAAAAGTGAAGTTAGGCCAGTCTTGCTAAAGGAAGCTGCTTACTTCAGAGCCAGAACTATCATATTGCATAAACAGAGGTTCCATTTTATTTCTATTCAGTATTAAGGAATCAAAATGTAAATTTGAACAAACTGATGTAGTTCATTTACTCTTGCAAGTGCCAGACAGTCCCACATTAATGGGACTGAGCAGACATAATGCAAGAAGAGTAGCCCTATATGCAAATGACCAGTTGTAAGCATTGAACCAAGGAAAGTCACGTTTGTTTTTTCTTTGTGAAATACACTTAGGTGACCTTACTGTTTTGCAGCTTTACAGTGCAGAAGTAAATAGGGAAAACTTGGTCTTATGAATGCTTATTTGCCAGACTTCAAATTATTCTGAAGAGAATAAATTCCAAATGTAAATATTTTGAGGCTAAGCCTGAAGCAAGTTTTGAGTTAAACTCCTGACAAGAATAAGCATTAGGGAAACTAGGTAACAAACTTTACTTGAGAGATTCCAGTTGTAAGCTAAGAAATAAGGTGTGATTCTGCTCTTGGAACCTCATTTTGGAACTCTGAACTGTTCTCTGATTTACATCAGTAGATCTCAGGAGTTTGCTGATTGCACTGAATATCCAGGCTGCCTTGAGTCCATCTCGGTCTGCCTTTCGTAATGTAGGGCTGAAATTTGACTTTTCAAGGAGCCTCCATTCTATTAATGAAATGCTTTCTTCCTTTCCCTGTGGCATTTAGGTAAATGGCTGTTTGCTGGATCCTGTGCCCCCTATGGTGATTAGGAAAGGCTGCCAGTCACTGCCTACCAGCATGATGGAAACCTCTATTGATGAGGGTATAGAGACTGAAGGGGAGTCTGAAGATGATCCTGCACAGGCATTTGCAGCCCTCCAAGCAACCCGCTGTGGGAAAAGACGTCACACTCTGGCAGAAGTGACCAACCAGCTTGTCATGATTCCAGGCACAGGTATAGATGTTGTAGAGGTGTCTGCAGAAGTTTCATTCAGTCTCTAAGAACCCAGCTGGATGGAGAACACTAGCTTCATTTGTGTCTTAATTTAATTATCAAAAAAGCAGCTTTTTGTTTACTATTTGTTACTTACTGGAGGCAGATATGATAAGAGCAAATTTACAGTCTACAACCTCATTCAGTCTAATGGCAATGTAGAAAGGATAGAGGGTGGCAGGAAACTTAAATGAGTTACACTTTTAGCATAATTAACCATCCTCATTTATTTAATTCCCAAGTGCCTAGAAAGAAACACTAGTTTCTCTGGCGGCATGATGCCACTTAGAGGATGCAGCTCTGCCAACATTGTCTATATGATCTTGTCAGCTCTCCCATGTTAAACAGAGTCTGGACAGTACTTGAATGGGAAATTCCTCAAGAACATGTGGGGAAGGAAACAAGATTAGTGACTGCCTGGCATTCTCCCAGAGTCAGTACTGATCTGATGTCTTAATGATTCTAGAGATGTGTTTATAAGCACATCTAACCATGCAAGATCCCATTGCATTTCTCCAAGAGTTAGCTGGAAACATTGTTGGCAGAAATGGCCCAAACCTGTGGCACTTTGAATAGAAAGTTCAGTAATTAAGCAATCTGGCTTTTGTTGTTTCTCACAGGGAAAGTCTACTCCTTGGATGAAAATCCATCTTTGGGCAGCATTGACTCAGAATATGAAATGGGATCAATTCAGAGGGATCTTAACTTCCTCGAGGACACTCCGACCCTGAAGGAAGTGGTGCTGGCCAACCAGCCAGCACCCAGAATGACGCCCCCTTTCATAGGGCTGAGACCTGCTAATCCAGCCATGCAGGCACTAACCTCCCAAAAACGAGAGGCCCACAACCGCTCACCAGTCAGTTTCCGAGAGGGCCGCAGGGCATCTGACACATCCCTTACACAAGGTAACTTTCACTGTTTTCCTGAAAAATTGTGTGCACATGTACTACCACGCGTGTTTTAATCCCAGTGTGACTCAGGTGGGGTATGCTAAGAGTTCAGCTGGCTGTGCTAACTAAATAGCTTCACGGATATTGTTCTGTTTTGAATTATCCAGGAATTGTAGCATTTAGACAGCACCTTCAGAATCTGGCACGAACCAAAGGAATCCTGGAGCTGAATAAAGTCCAGCTGCTATATGGACAGATGGGATCAGAAGAAGAGCACAACCTAACATCAGCTGCTCCCCACTTGCAGAATCTTGTAAGCAGCCCCCCTCCAGTGTGTGAAGCACTGCTAATGTGTTTGCTGTACAAGCCACAAGCAGCAACAAGCACCTCTCTAAGAGCTGCTGCTGTAAGAGACAGATAAAGAGGAGATGCCCTGGGGTACCTAGAAGAGACATTGATTTAGAGTTTACATTTCCTCCTCCCCCTCATTTGTATAATGGAGAGGACAGCAGGCAGTGAGCTCCTGTGGATTAAGGTTTGCCAGTGTTGTGGAACCAGCAAGATGATATTCTGGGCTTTTCAGAGCCAACAGATTGTTAGTGTCAGTGCATAGGAATTGTGTTTTAGATACATATAGAGCTGAATTCTGCTCTATCCCAGTGGAGTTCCTGTGCTCTAACAGAACCGACCTCTGCACGTCATTTTAAATGTGGCTGGTGGCATGTCACGTGGCCAGCTTTGGCCTTATATTGTCAGACCAAATCCAACTACAGGTTGCACCTCCCTTACCCGGGACTCTCTCGTCCGGCACCATCCAGGGTCTGATATGATCATAGATGTTCTGAATGAGAGTGCCCCAGAGCCAGAGGGCCAGCAGCGGGGAGCCCGGCAAGTCTGGTGGTGGTGGGGCCACGGCAGCAGCGGTGCTGGGGCAGCCTACGCAGTGGTGGAGCATGATCGGACCTGCCCGGCAGTGGGGCTGGGACCATGGCAGCCCAGGAGGGGAATCCTGGCTGGGGCTGAGTCAGCCTGGGCAGTGGCAGGGCAGCAGTATCGTGGGTGGCGGCAGCAGAGCTGCATCAGCCTGGGAGGGGAAGCCAGGCCGTGGCCATGGCAGCATGGGAGGTGAAGCCGGTCTGGGGCTGTGGCAGTCCAGCAGAAGCAGCACAGCCGGGACCACATGCTATCCAGCGGGCAGCAGAGCCATGGGGCTGGGGCTGCGGCAACCCAATCAGGCTTTGTACCGCCTGGCTTGCAGCAGAGCCAGGGGCTGGGACTGGCCAGCAGGCAGCCTGGCCGGCCAAAGGAGCCAGCAATGGGAGGTGAACTGGGCTGAAGTGCTGGTGTCAGGGGACCTCCCCTTGTCCAGCAGATTCCCTCATCTGCGACTGGTCAGGTCCTGAGAGTGCAGGACCAGTGATGCCCAACCTTTAGTTGCTGCCATTGTCCATTATTTTCCTGTTTGTAATAAAACAGGAGGCAGCAAATCTAAATAAGAACTTTCTACCTTGGGCCCACTTGCTCAGGCAGGGTGGCCAATAGAACCCATTGTAATCCTTGCAAAATGCTCTAGCGCCCCTGCTGGCTGAAACACTGATAATCCCAGTGCTGTGTCTCACTTTGCTGTGAGATTGAAGAGCTGTTCCTCGCTCTGAAAGCCAAAAGAATGTGTCATTAAGTGTGACATGTCAGAGCTCATGGAGCAGTTGTGGTGCCAACCAACAAACCTTTCCCTCTCCAGCCGCTGCAGCAGCAGCTAACCTGCCTATTGGAGACACACACTGTGTGTGTAGCTCTTCTTTTAAGTTCTAACAAAAGCCTTTTTAATTTGGTTTTAAAACCTGTAAAGATGGGCAGACAATCACAGGGTCACGATCACTTCGTCCTGGTGTCACTGGGATCTGAGGGCAGATGAGTCAGACAATACCTGGCATGTCTCCAGCCTAGTCAGTTGTGTTCTTTTTCTGTCATGGCAGAGGAGAATTCTAAACAATCCTAAATGAGCAATGAGCCCTGCAGATCACGTGGCATTAGAGCCCCAGTCACTGTAGCTGTGAAGGTGTGTAAGCCGCTCCCTGAAGAGTTTAAGCAGAAAACATAGTTACTGTTTGTTAGGGATGTAAGCGACTAGTGGACTATCCAGTAAACATAAGCTTATCGTATGGTGGACTAGTGATGTGACTAGTTGCTTCCCTCCCCCCGCGCCCCTTGCTACCTCTATCAGAGAGAGGCAGCAAGTGCTGGGTTGGGGGGAGGAGCTGGTGGAAGCCTGCTTAAAAGTTGGTTCCCCCCAGCATCGTCTCCACAGGAGGCAGGGGAGGTAGAGACACAATGGGAAATGGTGCGAGTGGGAAGTGAAGCAGTCTCCGCTCGCACCTGTTCTGCTGCAGTTCTGCCTTTGAAATGTACAGGAGTCCCAGTGGGGCTCTTGTACATTCAAAAGAAGAAGCCCTGCTGGCCCCAGGCTCCCTGCCACACCTCAGCCTTTGAAAATGCACAAGAGCCCCGCTGGCCCGCACTCCCTGCGGGGCTTCTGCTTCTGAACTGTAGCGAGAGCCCAGAAGGGCTCTTGATAAGGGCACCTCTGTCTTTGAACTGTAGCAAGTAATCAATTAGTCGATGGAAATCCCACCAGCTACTCAATTAGTTAATCTAAATTTAACATCCCTATTGTCTGTGGTTTTTTCCCCATATTCTTGTCTTCTCTTCCCAGGAGGAAGCTTCTCAGCAGCAGGAGAGTGTATCTGCCTTCCCTAATGGTGTGCATCCCCAATTATTATCCAGACGGCAGAGCTTAGAAACACAATACTTGCAACACAGACTGCAGGTATGGTGCCTTCCTCCACAGTGGCAAGCCAGCCATCGACGGTAGACACCAATCTAGCCACTGAATTATTTTCAAGGATAACTAATGAAGCAACAAAAAAATCATATTATACAAGAAAAATAGGTGCAATGAGGTTCCCTTTGGTTGCTGCAGCTACTGGTTTTCCACTTTCTTAGCCTGTTACTAATTAGAGACAAAATAGGAGTTGAACAGCAGTTCTTGTCATTCCTCTTGGTTACATTCCTTTAAGGGAGATGGACCAGATTTGGTCTGGGAAGTGATCGGAGGAATCTCTGTCTTTTTTCATCGCAATGTTTCTCATTTTTATTTGTTTCCTTTTAAGAAGAAGCACTGCAAATGTTTCCAGCTTATATAATAAAAACACAAAAGTTTTAAGATGGTTTAAAATCAATTACAGCTATCAGTCAGTACCTAAACAATCATATGTTGTAGAAATAGACCAACATTTTCAAGTGTGCTTGGGTTCTGAGTAGTTAAGATAATTTTGGGTATCGAACTTGAGTGACATTGGGCTTGGTATGTCAGCAACCATAGGCTTCAGTTGTAGTTAAGGGAAATTAGTCTGAAAGCTGTTTGGGGAAACGCTGCCTTTTAGACACATTTACCTCGCACAATAGGATTCTGATCCCTGATTGGGGCCTCTAGAAACTATGAGTAACTGGTATTGCTGCAACCCTAGGTGCTAGATAGCAGTAGATGTGCACATTTTAAATGTTGAACTTGCAGAGAGAACGTGGGCAGCATTTTCAAACCTACACAGCAGCTGTGGGCAATAATTTTTGGTGGGAGGCCATGCCAAGATTTTGGAAAGTGGTCAAGGGCTGCACTTTTCTGTGGAGATATGGGGTCTCGGATGGAGGCCGGGTACAGAAGGGTGCACGGGGGAGGGGACTGGGGTGCATGAGACAGTGTGAGGTCGGAGAGGGTTGTAACCTGGGTCAGGAGATTGGGGTGCAGGAGAGGATTCTGGCCTGGAAGAGGGGTGTAGGAGTGGGTGCAGGGTCTGGGAGAGGGTTTGGATGGTGACCTGGGGGAGAGAGTTGGGGTGTGAGAGAAGCAGGCTCTGGCTGGCCAGCACCCCCCCAAGGCAGACTGGGCTCCCTGCCTGCTGCAGCCCCAGATCACTTCATGTGGTGCTCAGCTCCTGGGGGGGGGGAAGAGGCTTGCGCTGCCCCCATCCCCCAGGCCAATCTATCAGCTCCTATTGACTGGGTTTTTTCCCCCAAGAATGGCTGGTTGTTTCTGGGCAATAGGAGCTGAGGATTGGGGCTGGGGTCAGGGAGATCACACAGCCACCCCCTCCCTGCAGAGCAGAGAGCTGCTGGACTGCGCTTTAAATCTGCAGCAGCTGCGCCTGAAGGTCCCAGGCAGGGTGGTCAGCAGGCCAGATCCAGTGGCTTCGTGGGCGAGATCTGGCCCCTGGGCCGTATTTTGCCCAGACCTGCTATATGGTATGATAAGATAAACAAGTACTACTCCCCCAGCTGCAACTTTGAGGCAGTTCAGTCTGAGACACGACCATTTCATTTATCATTTTAAATCCATTATCTTTTGGTACTGTTTCAGAAACCTAGCCTGCTGTCAAAAGCCCAGAATACCTGCCAGCCATACTGCAAAGAACTGCCCCGAAGCCTGGAACAGCAGTTACAAGAGCACAGGTGAGAAGCACCTGGCACTGCCGCCTGTCAGAAGACAGGACGCTGGGCTACATGGACCTTAGGTCTGACTCAGTATGGCTGTTTTTCTGGTTCCCCATCGGGGTAGATGAGCCATTTGCATTAAACTGCCCCCAAGCAGTATTGGGAAAATAGAAAAATTCTATGGGACCGGCAAACTCTCTCTAAACTAAAATTCAGTGAACCTAGTACTAAGGCCCTTCATTATTGGTATTTACAAACTTTTGCTGAAAAATCCCTATCTTTTATTCAGGTTTTGCCAATTTCACCCAAATTATGGCTTTTTTGGGAGGTGGGATTTTCTTTTTTATTGGGCCAGACTGATGGGCCAGCTGGGGCTCTGCCCAGGGAGGATAGCAGGGGGGTTACTCACAGGGTGCAGACTTCTGCTTCCCTCTTGACCCTTGGCCTGCATTGTAGCCCTGTTCACTGGACAGGGAGATGGATCTCAATAGGACCATAACAGTTTAATTCAACAGGTAATGGTGTGTTCTTAGCTTTTAGTGTGCAGAGAATTGGGGTAGTGCTCAGAGCTGTCCTATTCATGCACTTCTGTATTCATGGTTTCCAGTGAAAGTTTCTATACACTGTATTTCAATACTTATGGTAATTCATAACAGGGACGATGTGTTTCACCACCAGTCATTTGGGTATTTCCTGCCTTTTTTCCATGACCAGATAATTTTATCACAAAGAACATGAGAAATTCCTGTAAGTCAGGCTTTTAAAGACTTCAGAAGGGACAGTCAATTTAAAAATGTCACGTCTCTAAAAATATCTGGCTGCTTGTTGTAATATCTAAGGTTACTACAACAGAGTTTAGATTGGAAGAGACATCTTTGTTCCCTCCACCCTTTTCTTTTTGTAATCTGTTTTCTGTGTATTCCGTTGCTAAGCTCAACAGCACTTAGAGAAAACTGATACAAAAGCAAAAAAAACCAAACAAACCACAAAGCGTATACAAAGGCCATCATGACAGTCAGCTACAAACTGGCTCTGGTTGTTGTGTGAAAGAGCCACACAGTTTAAGATTACCAGGGCTGGCCCCACAGCCAGAATTAAACAAAAGTATCACAGTCTTCAGGAGACTGAACTGAGGAGTGCCACAGGCAGAGAACAGGAAGAACAGAGGTGCACCAATGTTCCATGCCCCTGCAATGGCTGGGATTTGATTTAGTGAGACGTCCAGATAATCCACACATACTGGCAGAAGGACCTGGGAAAGATGGAGGGCATGAAATCCTCACTTGCTTTCTTGAAATTGGTACTGTCCTTTATATCTGGAGTGAATGCCAAGAGTGGCTGCAGAGTCGAAGAGCAATGGTAACTCCTGCTTGAGAGCTAGGACTGACATCTTGCTGACCGAAGCAGCTTCTATGTCTTAAATAAACAGAAGGTGGTGTGTAAGGAAATATACATTACCTAAAGTAGGGGAGCTGGAAAGATTCTTGTCTGGATACCTCCTTTCCTGAATGCTGTAGAGACTAGCCAGGAGAGGACTTCATATTTCTGGATGACCTGCAGATTGGCTGACTGGAGATCCCACTTTTATGATATTCCTGGAATTTGCCAGTGGTAGCTATGAAACAAGAGTGCTTGTGTTAAGTCCTTCCTATTTGTCAGATGGGAAAAGATGCAGGTCACAAAATAGGAATACAGTGGAACTTCACTAATTTGCACTGGTAACTGGGGAGACTAGTCGTCAGTTGCCCAATTCTGCAGTTTAGCAAGTAGAAAAAAATACACATTTTTGTTGACATTGGAGTGGTCATTAGTTAGTAAATAAGAATTTCTGATCAAACATTCTAACATTTTTGGTGGGGGCGGGGTGGGGGCTTTTTCAATCACTCCCTCCTGCTGCATCACAGTGCACAAGGTTCATTAGTTTGCCAAGCGAAGTCTAGTTTTCATTGTTTTAGGCTAATATTTCATAGTCCACTTAAATTTTGTCTATACAAGAGCCTTCGCTGCATCATCTCTGCTGTTGCACCTTTGCCAAGAAGCAGAGAGACATGTTCAGTGTGCAGATTAGCAAAGTGACAACAAGGTTCAATTGTAAATGAAACTAGCCATTTAGGAATTGGCTCTGAAAGGTTATGGAACCCAATGTACTTTTCACCACCCTCCTCTGCTATTGCTGTTTAGAGTAATTAGTGGATAGATCTCACTAAATATAAATATTTCAAAGAATGAAAATAATTCCTGTTGATGTCATTCATTCAGGCTGCATCAGAAGAGACTCTTCCTCCAGAAGCAATCCCAGCTGCAGGCTTATTTTAACCAGATGCAAATAGCTGAAAGCTCATACCCAAGGTCAAGTCAGCTGCCGCTTCCGGGCCAGGAGGAGCAGCCGCAGCAGCCACCACAGTTCAACCTGGCACAGCCCCTGAGCCCTGTAATGGAGCCTTCCTCAGAACAAATGCAATATGACCCTTTCCTTAGCCAGTATCAGAAACTACAGCTGGAGTCACTGTCACCATCCCAGATCCACAGCTCACCTCCGTTGCCATCGCAGATACATGTGCAACAGCAGCCCCCACCACAGCCCTTACAATACTCCTATCAGACTTGTGAATTGCCAGTCATCACCTCCTCTGAGCCAGACTACCCAAACCAGTGCCAGTATTCTATGAACCCAGCCCAGCAGAGCAATGTAGCATCACCCGACAACCAGAGGAGCTCAGCATCTCATGAGTCTCAGTCCAACTATGAGGCACTAGCCCTTTCAGAACTGCCAGGACTTTTTGACTGCGAAATGATGGAGACTGTTGATCCCCAGCATAGCGGCTATGTCTTGGTGAATTAGCCACCCTGGCAGTGTTAACTTACGAATGGAAGACAGGTGAAGTGAAGGAAAGGCATGTGAATTTAAATTTTTGTTCCAACCCTAAAATTCATGGCTTATTTTCCGATCCTTGACCTACTCGGGGATGTAAAAGCCACCTGACTGGTGCTAGCGGGGGATGGCTAAAAGCTACATGGCTATTGGTTCATCCTGGCAGTACCATGCCACAAATCTGGTGGCAGGGGCTGGAGATGGATAGTGCAGCTGGGTCAATCAAGAACCTGTTTGCGGAGAAGGAGATCACGGATGTTGTTTTAAAAGGAAGGAAAACTTCCAAAAACTGGATACTCGTAACACCCATCCAGTACCAGATGAAATCTGTTAAAGATCTGTAAAAGAAAGGAGAATGAGTGTGATGCATTGTACTTCTTGGCAATAAAAGCAATATATTTTTCATTGGAATTCAGACTTGAGTAACCTGAAGGCAAATCAAGAACTTTTGAAACTTTAGTGCAAGGTGAATTTAAAGGAAAGTTGCACTTTGGTTCTAAGCTACTGATGTTGAATTAGTCCACAGTAAGTCTCAGAGGACACAAGGTGTTTTTCCAACAGACTCCATATCCTCCTGAAAGCAACAGCATTTCCCCAAACTTGCCAAAAAACTTCTAATTGCCCACCATGGAAAGTTTCTGGATCTTTGACAAAATGATTCTCTGACCTAGTCAAAAGATCACTAGGTCTGCTATCTGGCACTGCAGTGTTTTTTAGAGGCCTCTGGATGGGGTACAGAATACTCCAAAGATAAAGGATCAGTTAACTGAAATGTGAAACAGCCAAGAAATACCAAGAGGAGGTCTACAGCTGTGGCAAATGACTACATCAAAAAGGTCAGCCAGGGTAGCATTAGAAATCAACCCTTTTTGCGGACAGCCTCTTGTCGAGGTCTCTGCCATGGAGCAGCTCTGGTCACTGGAGAGGATACATTGGCCCTCTGTTGCTTTTTAAAAATAACTTTTGAATTTACAGTCTGCGTTGCTGGTGGTTTATTAAGCTTTGTATATTTGGACAAGGATTTAGGTTTTAGAACATAAGGACAAAACAAAATGAGCTTAAAAACCCCATGTGAAGTGATAGTGCTGTGCCTTTTTGGGTTCTTTATCAGATTATATGCTTTTTTTCTGAAGAAAGTAGCCAATACCCCATTTATATCCATGCTAAAGCCAAAGTCACTTCAGAGCATGTGTTCCACCGTGTGGAATAGTGTTTTGATTGCTCATCTATATGTGAAATGTTAAAAGTATTACAGCAATATTTAGTGTCAAGAACTGTTGCTATAATAACTGTTTCAGCAGATACTCACTTTGAGCAAGCACTTGAGTCTCCAACCCCTTGCAGTTCACAAAATGCCAGACACAGCAGCTGGGTTTTGGACCCATAGAAAGGGATATGGGTAATCACCATAATTTGGGTTTTGTCTCCAGTGGTTGACTACTATGAGACATTAAAGGAGAATCTTCTACCATATAGCTGTAGAGTTCATGCCCTTTGTGAGCAGATGAACACACTAAGCACAACACGGGTTCTTTAAAGCACAAAGACCAGCAGAGAAGCAGGTACTGCTTATGAAAAACACCTTCTGTTGTCTGGAAGTTTCCCTTTTCACTAAGTTCAAAATAAGGAAAGATTAAATATGCTAGTAGCCCCACCTGTATCTATCACTATACAGTCGCACACTTGCAACGGTGATTTTGCTCTCAAATCAAAGTCTTGTTGTAAGTTCTCAACCTCTCCCTCCCCCCCAAAAAAACCAGGATATCACTTTCCAGTGTCCCGTGGGCAAGTTCTCCAGTCACTGTATAAACCACCAAAGCATTGACCTGAAGTGGTGGTAGCAGAAGAGAGGGTTCCTGATATGTTGAGACAAGCCTCGCCAATTTATAATCACATTTTTTACTTCAACTAGTTTCATGTCATAAACCTCAAAGATCAGACTGTAGAACCATTTCTTTCCTTCACCAGAGCATAAGCAGTCAGCACACAGAGCAATAATTTTTTACATGACCATGATTAAAAAAAAAAAAAAATCTAATGACTGCATATCACAGTCAGCTTTAAACAGGAAAAAGTTCAGCATTGCTGCCAGCAATCACCTGATTTCCCAGTATGCTAAAATCTGACTGACACTTGGTATTGATATGTGCCATGTAATATTGGTCACTAATCCACATGCAGTGCAGTCAGATTTGTTCAATCATGGCTTGGTATTTACTATACCGTGATTCCAAAGCCACTGCCAGAGGGCAATCTGAAATCCCATATAAGATAAAGCATGGAATCCCAGCCTAGATGTTGTGAGCACCTACCCCTTTCTTTATGGCTCCGTGGCAGAGGTCCACTAATGATTTTCTGTTGTAACATGGGCTCTTGATCTAAAGACTGTTTTAAAGAGACTTAATGCATTGGGCTTGGGAATCTCTTAGCAGTGGACATGCCTGTCTGAAGGGTTAACCAGCTATACAAACTTTATTAAAAATGTTCAAAGAACAGCCCCCAGGTCTTCAGTGACTAGTAGAGAGTAAGCAACTGGCCACAACACTGCAGGGGAGCAAAGGGCCAGGCCATTGAAATCTAAGAACCTCACCAGGGCAGGTGGCCACATGCAGGAAGAGCAAACGTGTGGAAACATGAGGTCAAGCTGAATACCCAGAGAGCGATGGAAGGGAGAAGCAAAGGATGGATATGAAAATGCCTCTGCGGTGTGAGCAAGAAATTCAAAGGCCCAGTTCTGCACAGAGAGTTGGGTCACAAAATACAGACTGCCCTTTTTCTTAACTGCTTCCACAACAGACCCCAGAACCCTGTACGTAGTAGGCTGACATGCAGCAGGATTCAGATGCACAAAGATCAAATCACAATAATAGTTCTGTTCTCAACTCATTTTGATAATTCCATTACCCAAAATTCCCAACTAGTCTAAACTGCTGAGTTTTTAGAATGTAAGTATTTAGGGAGCTAAAGAGTTTTGAATGTGATGAACATGAAGTAGATTAGTTGATTCTCCCTCAACTAAAAGCCTGTTTAACATTTACGCAATTTTCTTTAGAATAAAAAATTTCTAATGCCACACTAGACACTTTCTTGGGCACCACACGTATTCATCCAACTTTGAAGTGGCTGCTTTTGTTTAAGTCTCTCGTGTCTAATATTAGAGAAGTGTGGATAGTTAAGTATTACCTTTATTATCTTGTAATTCAAGCTCCTCTGAAGAGACTTTGGTGAGATGTATATGGGGTAAAAATTTCATATGGAGAAAAGTGCAATATGTGTGTGTGGTACGTTCTTTAATGTATTTTTTTAAAGAATTAGAGGGTTTAGTCTTCGCTTTGGGATAAATGCACTAGTTTTGTGAGCTCCAGTTGAGCAAGTTCATCTGTAGTAATTACATGCAACTGGTATACTGGACTCTGTAAGGCAATTACAGTGTATTAATACAAAATAAAGAATATGTACATTTCATTTTTAAATCTTTAGTGAGCTAAAATGGCATCAAAAATATTCTGTTATAAGCTTAGCAACCACCATGGGAGCATTACCTTGAAGTTATTATTCTAATGGCAGGCTGCAGCTGAGCCACCAAGACACTTACTTTTCAATATTTTCATGTTCCTATTAGCAGTGTTGGGTTCTCTGGAGTGTCTTTTTAAAGATAATGCAAAACTACTCTGCTTAGTTCATATAATTGACCTCAGAAGACAAATGTGCAGGAAGAAAATGTATTAATAGCCTCATGTGATTTTTATGGGCGTGTCTACACTGCAGTGTTCTCCCGGAAAAACGGCTGTTTTTCTGCGAAAATTATACTTGTGTCTACACTATTGCGTTCTTTCGACAAAGTCGAAAGAACAGAGGGATTTTTCCAACGGCAGTAAACCTCTTTACACGAGGAAGAAGCCTTTTTCTGAAAAAGCTTTTTTGGGAAAAAGGGATGTGGGGACACACAAGAGGGTGTTTTTTTGAAAGGAGAGGGCTCCAGGAAATAACACAGGTGCCCTATTGGCCACTCAATCAGAACTCTATAGTTCCTGTCTCCTGGCAGCTCTTAAAGCGGCAGGAAGCCGGCCCTGGGAGCTGCACCTCACCACACGGCTCTGACTGCCACCCACATTGTGAGCAATGGCCCAGCCACAAAGCCCCCCGAAACCTCCCTGTCCCTCACAGGGAGCACCACCAGGGTTCCCAGGACCCAGTCAGGGACACCAAGCGGCATGCGCCCTCCTGGTCCAGGGCAGAGAACCTGTCCCTCCGCGCTGTGAGGGGAGGAGGAGACCCTGCAAGATCTCCGCACCCAATGATGAAATGCCAACATTTACGAGGCTCTGGCAAAGAGGCAACACACCCCTCCCCCGACATTAGAACAGGTCCAGAGTAAGGTTAAGGAGCCAGGGAGCGCAGCTCTCGCTCCGGGGCAGAACCGCACTACTGATCTTACTACTAGGACCTCCACCAAACCCCGGGGGGTGGTGAAGCCCTTTCCCCACTCGTGGTGGTGGACTCGGGGTTACAGACGCCCATTGTTGCCCGCCCAGGGCTCCCTGATGAAGAGGAGGAGGAGAAGGAAGAGGACACAGCCAGCCCGGTCACCCTGACCTGGAAGCAGGTACCCAAGGCCCTGGATGTCTCTCAGGCATCCTCTGAGGGCAGGGAGGGATCAGGTGAGCACTCACTTTTCCACACACACAGGGCGGGGGAGGCAGGCACAGAGGGGATGGGGTGCGATGGTCGCTCACCCTGGACAGCATGCTGCAGCCCGTGAATGTGGAAGCATGTGCAGGGCCAGTCTGTGACACACGGCCTCAGGAGGCAACCCCGGAGCACCCCAGGCTTCTGCTCACAGGCTCAGGGAAGGCCCCATATATGTCTGACCCTTGGAGGGTCCCCACTGTTGGAAGCAGGCTAGGCACAAGGGCGCATGCACGACCCCCTTCAGACTGAGGAGTGCCACACAGCACAGGGGCACATGGGGCAGGCGAGGCCCCATCTCCTGCGGATGGTGCTGCTAGGTGCAGGTGTGTGTGTGGGCCCCATGGAAGGCCAGGTTGCTCCAGGCCCCACTCCTGCCCATGAGATCCCAGTGTGGCCGGACACTTCCCTTGCCTGCTTGTCCGTGGGAAGCGGGAAGCATGGTCCTCTAGGCATCTCAGGGCTCCTGAGAGGCAGGGCCTGCTGTGCAGGCCACACATGGCCTTCCTCCTGGGACTGCCCCGTCCTCTGGCCCGAGGACTGTTGATCACAGCTCGCAGAGGAGGGCACGCCTGCAGGGACAGTGTCTCCATGGATGACTGACCACCTCTCCCTCTTTATTCTCCACAGCCGGACCAGCTGTCGCTGAGGGGCGATCCACGCCATCAGAGGCAGCCGCTCAACCCTGGGGGAGCTGCAAGTGCCAGAGGGTCCAGAAGGGCCTCATTAGACAGCACGTGGGCGTCCTGTGCAACTTGCCGCAAACCCTGGCCATGAAGGTCCGAGATGACACTGAGTGGAGAGCTTCCAGACGGCGATGGCAACCCGCTTCTCCACGGGGATGGGGGGCCACAGGTGGGTGTCCCATCGTCGGAGGGCCGGGGCAAGCCAGGCACCCAGCTCCGTGAAGGTGGCCTTCCGCATGAGGAAGTTTTGGAGCCACTGCTGTGTCGTCCCACCGCTCCATGACCAGCCGGTCCCAGCGCTCGGAACTGGTGTCCCGCCTCCAAAAGATCTCTCCACTGTGGGGTGCGGTTGCCAGGGCCTTGCTCCCACACAGGGAGAGGGTCTCCGTGATAAGCTCAGTGTCCTGCTCATGCAGGGCCATGAAGGCAGCCTGCACAAACTGCCCCAGAAACTGCAGCGTGGGGCCATGGCAAGAAGTACGCTGTGGCATCGAAAAGATGGACAACCAGGCCGCACACTGCTAAAGCTTCGCTGGCCCTCAGAGAGGTAGCGAGCCCGCAGCAGAAGCAGAGAAATGGCTGTCCTGGGGGTCCCTTTAAGCACGCTCAGCTAGCCTTAGGCAACAGCGTCTGGAATCAACTGCTGAGCTCCTGCCCTGCCTGCACTGGTTCCGGGCGGCCTTCTATGCGATGTAGTGTCCAATCAACATGGACGCGATCTTTCGAAAAAGCAGATCGCGTTCTCGTTGTGCTTTTGCTATGTAGATTCTATATTTTGAAAGACGTTTTTTCTGGAAGATCTCTTCCGGAAAAGTTTCTTCCGAAAGAAGCTTTCCAGTCTAGATGTAGCCTATATCACATGCAGCCTGTTTAGTATGGCCCTCATCTCACTGTCACTCACAGGCAAACTTTATTTAATGCATCTGGATCACTGACCGACTGAATAGATAACTTTCAATAAAGAAAGTAAGTCTTCCATAATAGTTTCTTATTACAAGATTAAAAGCAGAGGTAAGTCCAAAACTATTCAGGGAATAACGATCAATAAATCCAAATGACTTGAAAGCAGCATTTTAGTGCAGGTTACATAATCTAGTTCCTATACTTCCCTGACTTTAACTCTTCTTTCTTACACAGTGTTGAGCAGTAGGACTATATCTACACTACTGCAGAAAGTCAACTTAAGCTATGCAATTCCAATCTATGTGAATAATGTAGCTGGAGTTGACGTATCTTAAGTTGAGTTATTATAAAGGGTGGAAAGAAACAGCCCTTCATTTACTTCTCTTATTCTTCTCAGCCTGGGTTGAGTAACAAGACAGATGGGAGACCCATTAAATCGATTGCTGGTGGATCGCTCTCAGAACATGGATCTGGGCTGTAGTAGAGATGTAGCCTAGAACAGACTGTGGCCATATATGTTTGCTGCTAACATTTGATAGACTCTAACTGCTCCCCTCTCAAACTCATTGTAAAAGAGAAGTCATGTGGGTTTGATCAGAAAAAGGATTCAATGTAAAAGATGCTTGAGAAACAGAAAAACAATTTCACACCCAAATTAGAAGTTAGTTGTTTTGCAGGGTTTGAAATAGAACAATTCCTATTTACAGGAGTTTTGCAATTGTTTCCCTCCACACTAAACACAATAAAATGAATAATGTCGAATGGTATAGGTTTGTTGTTTCACTTCAAAACCTCAACTTTGGAAAAATCTGTCGTTTGGAAGAGGCAGAAGGATAAATGAAACCCATCAGTTTTGCCAATCTTCTAAATGTTCTCCAGTTTGGAAAAGTCAAAGCAGAGGGGGAAATAACGCACTCACCTCCATTCATTTGCATTTGGTGGCACAACAGGAGGGGAGCGGGCAAGAAATAAAGTGCCATAGTTTATAACAACTTTAATTTTAAAAAACTAATGACCTTTTCTGGTAGAAAATTTTTTTGTTGTGAAATCCCTCCCCTCCACATATACAACTCCCTTTTTTTTTTTTACAGGAAAGATTTCTGATTGGAAAATTCTGCCTAGTTCTAATCAACACATATTATAGTTAAAACAAGTAGTGGTAAGAGTAATTGAGAATAGTTCCCTAGAAGGCTCCTATTCAATGTATAGGATTAGAAACAGATAGTTAAAACCATGCAACCCTCTAGCAAGGATGAGATTATACTGGTATAAGAAATGGTTATAATACAATTCATTTCCATAAATATATAGGTGTAAATTATACAGATAATACCCTTAGCAGGATAATACCCACTGAAAGGGGCTGCAGATTTAAGTATTCTAAACCAATATATCACTTGCTAGTTATGTAGGGAATTACAGCAAATCTGCATTACTTAATCCAATTTGGAGGAGTTAGGGTTCAAAGGACAATTTCTCCTCTTCTAGTAGGGAGTTTGATACCTTGACTGTTCTGGGGGTTAAGTAGAGAACTGTACTCTGCAGGGGTATGAATCTCATACCTTTCACCAGCATTAAAGAAACATAGTCATTAAGAGAGATGCAAGCAAAAACCACAAATAAGAGCTAGTGGCAAAAGGTGCCAGATACCATTTCTGGGCACTGCAGAATCAGAAGCAGTAGTCAGCTGTTGCATGTAAAGTTGTGTATTTAATTGGAACCTATCCTCAAGTTGTTCTTCCTTTTCACAAAATAAGTTTCATTTACCTGAAATTGGAGACTATGGCTGGGCCGGTGGGGTGGGGTGGGGGGAGAGAGAGGAAGAGAACCTGGGGAAAACAGAGGTAAGTGAAAGAAAAACTAGGGAAAAGACACAATAAATGTGTTGTGTTGTTTAGCTCCTGTCAATTATTTTCCCTGAATCTTTTCCTCTAATTTTATGGGTGATAGAAGAACTATGGCTTAGAAAAATAAATTTAGGAAGGTTTTCTTAAAATCTTACCTTGCCACTGGGTTAACCTCAAAAGAAACTTTTTCTACTATAGCTAGAATCAATTCACTAGGGCTGAGAGAGATTGGCTGTATGTTGCTGCTTTTATAGGATACACCTGGCAGTCCTATGGAGCTGCCCTGATAGGGGCAGGGACTATAAAAATGAATCACGGCAGCCCGCTGAGAACTTAGAAAAAACTACA